ACACACAATGTCTCTTATGAATTTCAACCTCTCTTATAAATCTCTCTGTCAAAAATGTCGAACAATTCAATGTTCTTTATGTTACATCTGCAAATTTGAATTATTCTTACTATTTATTCACTGAGAGAAATTATTTATTTGGTTAAATTAATTTATTAAATGAAAATTGACCGATGAAATTAAACACACATAAGTCGAAAACAAATTAATTTAATTTTTTCAATGAAGAATGTATGCATTTATAAGTCAATATTACATTACTTAAATACATACATTCTCCAATGAAAGAAATAAAGACAACTAAATTAATTTAATCAAATGAATAATTTTTTAGTATTCTTATTATTCTTGTATACTTACAATTAGTATTTATTTTTTTATACGAATTATGTTATTTTGCATGCTTGAAATTAATTAGTATGTTAATTAACATTAATTTAATGGGCCTTACAGATCCAGTGTTAGTAACTGTGTTACAAATTTTAATGTCAGTTCCGAAGGATTAAGGCTGGAATTGTTTGGAAAGATAAGGATCAGATATAATTTTCAGGAAGCTTATCGGGCTCTAACAGGTGGATCGCAAATCGATAATCCTTTGTCGATAAATTATTGAAAGACTACGTGGGATATTCCTTCGTGATAGAGACTCATTGATCATCTCGCTGCTTTATTCTTATATAACCGAGAATGATTTTCCGAGAATGTGTCTTGTGAGTCGAAATCGATTTGTGCGATAATTACATTTTGAGTAATAAATAACAAACATGGTATTGAAGTTTGCCACAACGTGCTTGAATCAAGCGCGCCAAAATTGCTGTAATTATTGCGAAACAATTACGGCATATATTTTTCACTTATCGCCGAAGCTGTCGATTTCGAAATACCGATCGGTTGCCCCAGACCGAATTTCGCTAGGTCAGAAATTAAAATCGTGCAACAACAACATGACGCGACGTATTATGCAAAATTAAATGATAAACAAATGTAAAATCCAGAGCAATTTACTTAACTCTCTCTCTACAAAAGCTTTAAAGTATTTAATTAATCAATTAAAAGGGAATAAATTTACTAATTAATCAATCAAAGAGAGAGAATTTTTCAAAACATTTATAGCATTATGAATGAATAGTAATTTTAATTCTGATAATCCATGATTTATTCTTCCATGATTATTCTTTTAATAAGCTCCTTTTCCAAAAACCTGTCTTTCCTCATAGAAATAATTAATCTTGTTGATTTCAAGAAAAACAATTTTGATATTATATTACCGATGCAAAAATTTATGAGTTGAATCTAAAGAATGTTAAATGAAGGTGATCTATTAATAGAGATTGTATTTTAATAATCTCCTATTTTTTTTTTTTATGAAACGGAATTGTCGGTGAAATAAATTTTAATCAGAGTTTCAAACGAGTTTCTCGCACGAGACGACCGGGCCGGTTTCTTGCGCTCATTCGCGCGAGTGGCATT